ACCAGCCCTACTTTTGTGATCACCTGCAAGTGAACCCAGTGTAGTTCATTAACTGAGCTTTTTTCTAGATTATTTAACTAAGCAGGGTCAATCATTCTAAGTCCAGCTAAATTTTTGTGTTCCAATAATAATGTTGACCCCGATCTACTAGTTTGACTAGTCTATGTAATTGACCTCACTAACAATCATTACATGGTATTTGGTATATTATATTATTTTTCTTAATTGGATCTATTGGGTCCTTAAGCCGACAAAGCCTATCTCTGAGAGAGTTGTTTGATTTAAATGGAACCGTAATTCCAGCGTCATTGGAAACTCTACGTAAGACCTCTGACGTCTCTTCTATATATAGTAGTTCTCAAATCTTATTTTTATCGAAAACTCACACTAGAACTCTAGCACCGCCATCCTTTGGATCAGCGATCAACAGACTCATCTGGTGATGTGAAGGCCTTGAATTCTATCCTCAGTCATATCATTAGTGAATACTGACGAAGAACCCCAAACTATTATTGAATACCTATCCAGTACTCCCTTGTTTTCAATGGTCTTCTAACTGATGTAATTTTGTGAACAAACTTGAAACCATTATAACGTAAACGTTGTTATGCCTAAACCAAATACCCCGATTATTATTATTAATATAAGATTCAGCAATTTATTTTTTTTGTGTGCAACTAACATACACAAATGCTTAATTTACCTAATATATAGAAGTTATCAAAAGCATGATCAACAGCACTCAGCATGAAAAATAAGATATGGATTTTCAACTCTAATGTAAATTCAGTGCTGCTTGCTATACAGAACAGAGACTTGACCAGCACGTCACGAAGGGCACTTCGGACAAACTACAAACCTTCATCAATAGCTGCCTTCGCTCAATACTCAAGATCAGCAACAGGGAGGCATCTCCGCCAATGAGCGAACCAACTCAGCAGGAACCAATTGCGCAACAAATATGCAGGAAGAAATGGAGGTGGATTGGCCCTACTATGAGAAAACAAACCATCAAGTGAGTGACATCACAAGCCAGGCCATCGCCCGAATGTGGAGCGGCGAGTTGGTCGTCAGTGCGAGAGTGACATGGAGGAGGTCATGTGAAGATGAGATGAAGGCATGTGAGCAGACATGGAGCTAGGTGAAAACGTTGTTGGAGAACCGAACACAATGGAGATGTGCGTCTGCAGCTCAATGTTCCTCTAAGAATTAAAGGAAACAATAGTAATAATAATAGTCTAAAGCACATTTTTTTGTTCAATAATCTTTGTTATTACGTAGAGTAATCCTGCAATATTTAGTCGGCAGCTCTAGAATAAGTGCAGGAACATTGATAACTAACTTCACATTTTCATTTTCTATTATTTTTTCTGTAAAATGTATAAAAATTACAGAAGTTACTTTTTTAACCAATAAGTAAACATACTGCAAATAGAAAATATCCAATCACATCATTGCGTTTTTAAACTATGCGTGGGTGGGGAAGCAATTAGACTACTTCTGATTGGTTATTAGCATCTTTACATGTGTTTATATGTAACTTAATGATCATTTCGCCTGTAAAAAAAAGCGAAAATGAGTTTGACCCATAAATGTGGCACTTTTGATTCACTCATGTAAAAATGTTTATACTCAGATAATTACATATATTTAGACGCGGTGGAAAGAGAAATTATCTGTTCAAAAATAAGTTTTTGAAAAATAAACAAAAGTAAAAAAAATAAAACAGAGAAAGAATCTATGACCACTTTACCAAGTTGTATGTATTGGACATTTACTAATTCAGGTTTGTTAATACAAGATTGGCTGCTGAAACCTGTAAGACCGGTGAATTTAAATGAAGCGATTAACCAGTTATACTTGTCATCATCTGTTGACTACCATCAGTCGAACACTAATCATCATCAGTTAAACTTCAATAATAATAATACTTTGTCAAATGATAATATTCAACAAGTTTTACAAATTATATTTTATTTCAGTTTACCATTGATCCCAGCTGCTACAATATTATTTACCATTATTAATATATTTATTGAATCAAAATATTATATTTGTCCAAAGTACACATTGTTTACACGTCCATATATACAAAGACTTTCACAGTATTTAATTGTATTCTACGTTTTAACTGGGATTAATTCATCTCTCATCTGGCTGTCAACATTACCTCGTTATATACCAATGTCAATTGGAAATTATATCACACTAAATAGTAATAATAATGATCATTTAATCAATAAGCATAATTCAAATGTAACTAATCAATACAATTCACATTTATTGATGAATTCGTCCTCCTCTTCACCTCCTCCTTCTTCTTCTTCGTATGATTCTAATATTACACCCAAATTCCTTACACAACTTCCAGCTATCTTAACAATGCAAATTGTCCTACGCTTGACATTGTGTTGGCTAATTATTGGTATAATTATAGACCGTATCTACATACTGGGTGAATTGTACATTAATCCAATGACAAAATCATTTAATCACTATATAAATTATTTATATACATTAATTAAAGAGAATTTAAGTGAAAATTGTTATTTAAATACACTAACAACTCATTCTGTCAATGATAATTGCCTAACAGACAAACAGATTCAAAAAGCCGGGAAATGTTCAGCGTTTCAACAGATATTTAAATTTGCCGCGAAATTATGTTCAATACAAAAGTGTTCAATCAGGTCATGTCCAATCTGTAAACAAATGAATTATAATCTAGAAAATGAATATACATGTTTTGTTTGTAAATCAAATTATTTATATAATACAAATTTATTATGTCATGGAGATGAGAAGCAGCAACAACAACAACAATCTGATGAGAATCTGTACTTGAATAGTTCAATAATACCTAATAAAACAACACAGTGTACATCGATTGGACGTTTAATCCTAACCACAGGTTTACTGATCACCTGTTCATTAGCCATTTGTCTACCTCAAGTATGGTCATACCAGCTGATTGGAATAAATTTAAGAATTAAGCTATCGAATGGTAATTCTAAGAATCTTATAGAAAAAATGTATCCAGCTTGGCGTCTTTTGAACAGAAATAGTCAAACTATATATGAATATTGTTTTGCTGCAGTCAGTTTTGTAATACCCTGTTGTACAATTATCGTCTGCCTACTATTATTAATAATGCGTTTAATAAAGATTAAATGTGAATTCAAGCATATTTATTTACATGGTTCAAATGTTAAAGATATTAAATTTTACAAATTATATGAAAATATTGTAAAGTATTGTCTAACACACTTAATTCAAGATTGTATCTTGGTTCTTATTATAGCTGTTATACAACTGTGCTGTTCTCTGCCGCATTTAATGACCAATTCAATTAATCGTCTTGAGTGTTTATTGGTTAGTTCAAGTAAAGCATCGAGTATCCCATCCACTTCTTCTTCGTCATCGCCGTCCTCGTCGGGAGCAGAAGCGACGGACACTTATTGGCCAACACGACAAAATTGGCTTTTAATTGAATTAAGTTGCCTATTCGGTGATTTCTTGATTCAACTAGTTATTCTTTCAATTCGTCTGTGTGAGACAAATCATTTGTTGACTGCTAACTTTCCATTTCAAAATTTTGAAAATGGCTGGCTTAAAAAATACAGTTTAAGTAACGTGGATAAACAGAATTATGCAAGTGTCCAGTGTCAACATAATATTCAACAGAATGACTGTGATGTAGAACATTTAATGAAAATGCAAGAGTTGGATGAAGATGTCAGTAAAGCTATGGATGAGGATAGTTATGAAAGTAACCATCAAGTGGGGGAAGAAGAAGAAGATAATGACGGTGACAGCGATGATGATCTCCGTGACGGTGACGCCATCGGCAATGAAAATAGGCATAGAACACTTGTCTATCCTATGAAAACACCGACAGACAGTGGACAAACAAGTAAGAATATCTCTCCTTTACCAATATCGCATACAATCTCAGATGTTCTCCTGTCACCTAAATTTAGATCAAAACAAGGCATGTATCGACTCAATGTACAGAATAAAGTACATCGGTCAAGTCCATCGACATTCACCTCCCCACTGCTACAGCGTATACCAGAAAATATTAATTATCAGAATAGTTGTCACAGTTTTACATTGAACAACACAATGGCAAAACCAACTGTTACAGCAATAACTAAAGGTTCACTGAACACATACGTTGAGCCGAAAACAAATATGGCTAGCCTCACCTACTCTCCAAGATCACGACATCCGTGTAGACTACAGACGAGGATTTCTTCTGATCCTTTGAAATCAGCGAATTACAATAATCTTAATAACAGGATTCATCTATCGACTGCATCATCTGTTAATCAGTCGAAACAGATTCCAGCTACGCCTAATATGAATACACTCCGTCTGTATCAAAGTCGTTGGATTGACAACAATTCACCGCCGCCCTTACCTCCACCACCGAAACATTTAATGTACATGCTTGGTGAAGATTCATCGATTTATTCAACTCCTCACGGATCACCTCAACAATTCGGTACACGCAAACAAATGCTACTGAATAACAACAGTAACAGTAGTAATAATAATAATATTACTATTACTAACACTTGTAATAACAGTACTAATATTTCGCTTGGATATTCACCAAATCTATCACGTCTTACTCATCATATTTCAAAACATGAAAGTCCAAATGCTATGAGTTTCCGACAAACTGATTCAGGTGTCACTGGTTTAGGTGGTTCATTAATCGACAGTGAGAATTATGAGTCGAATACAGTTATCACTTGATCCTCTCTACCCAATGTGTGGAAGAAGGAGAGGAGGGGACCTTAGAATCAGCTGAATACTTCAAAATTGAAGACTTTAGCCTACAATTGTATAAACATTTAATCGTATGTCACAATTATTCATGTTTCTCAAACGTCTACACAATGGTCGGTAATCATTGACCATGTCTTGCACAGATTTTTTACAATTTCACTTGATATAATTGATTTTAAACTTTCTTTCTCCTGTGTAATGAGGTTAGTTCATACTACACGCATTTATTTAAAACAAAATGTTGATACTTTTATCATTTTTCCACTTCGAAATATATACTACTTATAAGTAGACAGATTAGTTGTTTATATATCTGAAAATTTATTGGGTTAGTTAAATAGTTAAATACGGACAAAGGCAATGTCCGTCATTTATTGGTAGGATGTTCACCAGCCACTTAAGTGGTCCGGGTTTGAGTTGCAGCCTACACGTTTTTAAAACTTACTTAACCTCTTGCAGTAACAATCGGAGAAATGGGAAAGTTGACTATGAGGCTAACAGTTAGATTCTGTAAAAATCAAACAGTTACCACAACAACTGAAACTTCAAAACATAAAGCTTGAAGGTCTGTGCTCCACCTAGAGCGAAGAAATAGAAAAAAGAACTTAATAATTAGGATTAAGAAGTGAAGAATATTCTCTGTGATGACATCCTCATCAAGTTCTGCAGTTATGTATACATGTAATATTTAAAGAGTAATTGTTAGTAGTTAACTGGTGGACGGTGACTAGCAGTGGAATCCAGGATGCGCATTTCCTCCTGTTTGGGACTCGTCATCTGGATGTACCTGCATTACCCAGTGAGTGATGATGCTCCCACCAAGGCTCGAACCCAGTGCCCATAGTTTCAAACGCCAAAGCATTTCGATCCAATCAATCGACGGGAAAATCTAAAATTCAATTAAGTAATTGTTAGTGATTACATTGACGATTTCGTTTAAATTATATGGAGTTGTTTAGATCACCAAGTTGTGGGGAAAGTAATCATTTCTAAGAGAAGGGGAGGTACTGTACGAACTTCTTCTGAATACATAGGTTTGCCTTCTTCAGGTATATTTTGATGGTTTCAGGTATTTGTAGAAGACGAATTTGAAAGGCAAAATCAAGATTATTCGGAATAAAGTAGATAGATAACTTTAACTTAACTTTATGTTCAGTATCCACAAGGTGAGATAAAACAGAGCTAAGAATAGATCTTGTTTGTCTCTTGCTTAACCATTGTGTAGGATGATGTTTTGAAATCCGATGATGAACAAGTTCAGTTGTGTGCTGCACTTCACACTCAGGACGTTTTAGAACTGACAGAAAAACAGCTAAATGTGCAGGCAGTAATTTGAAAAGGTTATTATTCACTCGCATGAAAACTGTCCATTTTCAATGATATCTCCAATGGAATGATGACTTGTTTGATAGATGGGTCTGACAGCTCAGCTAATGGGTGCCAGGTCAGTATTCCTTAGGCTACCGGTTTGAATGACATAGCAATCTGAAGCTTCCTTCCCTCTCATCAATCAACACCCATGTCGTCAACTGTAGTCTGAGAATTTGTGGCTATCCCATGATGTCCAAATTAAAAAATTTAAATATGCGAACTCCTTTTTATTAAATATGGTGTGACTAGGATAATCGACAAAAGAGAAACAAATGTACAGTAGGTTATAACATGTTAAGGTTGTTGACAAATATTATATCAGCTGAAAAGTGGAAATGCAATGCCACGTAGTCAGATAATCATACACATTAAAGTTTAGTTAGATTAAACACGTCAAAGTAGTGGCTAGTGGAAGAATTATATGTCAGTTAATAGTAAGAAAGGCGTAAAGGATAAGGAGTAAGAAATAAGTCGGAATTATATGGCCTTTTGGAAGCAGTATTACCTAACTGATAACTACTGAAATACATCATTTGAAACTCCGGTTGTTTCATTTTATTGGATCGAAATGCTCACTCTATATGCTGACTTCCCTCCTCCTACTGTGAACACTTTGACAAGGTGTTTACGCTGATATGATTTTATTTGATTGATGGTAGTTAGCGGTGTAATCCAGCATGCTCATTTCTCCCTATTTGAGACTTGTCAGGCGGATGAAGTTCCATCCTCAGTGACTAATAATTTTCCTGCTGAGACTAGAGCCCAGCATGCATCGTTTCAAAGTACCAAAGTATTTTATCCACTTGAGTTTGAGCTTATAGATATGCGCCTACGTTATCTGTAGAACTGGATGATGATATATATCGTAGGATAGCAGGTCCTTGATGTGTTGTGTAATTATAAAAGTAAGCACCAAGGTGTACTTCAGTTAAATCTCTCTCTCCCTAAGAGGTCTGCAGGCTTATCCACATAATCTCTATCCAGTCTCTATGATAACAGTTGTAGATATGATGGAGAAGATTTGTAGCTCAGGTAGATGATTTTGATGTGGTTGTGTTCTCTGAGCTGGATAGCTAATTTACGGAGCTTTTATCAGCCTACTAGGTGACATCTTCAGTGCATACTTCAATTTGTAGTGAGCTTTTAGATTTCTCCACGAGTTTATTAATCATCTCTCCCACTGGGTGACCTTGGACGTGATTGATTGTTTTTGTGCGTTTTCACACCTTCTAGGCTACTTGTATTGGAACTGATTGTTTCTTTGACTTGAACTTTGACCCTTTGTGTGTGACGTTTCTTTGTTATCTGTTGATAAATTTTGTCTATCTCGATGTGTCTATTGATTGATGATTCACTGGAATGCCAAGCTTCTAAAAATTCTCAAGCATTCTTGTTGTTTCCTCTGTCTAATATTTGAACATTGTCCCAATCGAATTGATGCCCGTGGTTGTCTGTATGTAGTGATATGAGGGAGTGGATGTCATGTCTTTTGACAGCTAGCTTATGTTCGCGGATTTGAAGACGAAGGGGACGTCCACTTTGGCCAATGTAGTGTTTTTCGCAGTTGTTACAATTTATCTTGTAGATGATATTGGTTTTATCTTCCTTCGCTGTTGAGTCTTTTGGTTGACATAGAACTGAGTGAAGTGATTTTGTTGGTTTGTGTGCGACGTCTTGCAAGAAAGAAACCTCACACACACAAAGGGTCAAAGTTCAAGTCAAAGAAACAATCAGTTCCAATACAAGTAGCCTAGAAGGTGTGAAAACGCACAAAAACAATCAATCACATTCAAGGTCACCGGGAGAGATGAATAATAAACTCATAGAGAAATCTAAAAGCTCACTTCAAATTGAAGTATGCGCTGAAGATGTCATCTAGTAGGGTGATGAAAGCTTCGTAAATTAACTATCCAGCTCAGAGAACACAACCACATCAAAAAGATAACTGTTGTTTTACACGCTTGAAGAACGTTCTGCTTCAGGTTTCGATTAAATCAGAACGCTGTTAAACATTAAAAGAATCATTTCTGGCATTAACACATATCTAGTCAATTTAAATAATGTTATTGGGGACTTGATTCTCAATTTACTATGTAAAGGAATTTCCCCCCGCTTGCCACCAGCTAGTAAATAGGGCGAGGTTTAAGAGTGAGTCTATTTCCCGGGAATCGAATCCCAATCTCCCGCGCTCGGTTAACGGGCATTATTCTACAGAACGCCTATATATATATATATATATATCAGATGTTTGTAAACGTTCTTAACTTCCCATCTCTACTTTATTCACCCGTTACCATGGCACTCTATTGAATTTACTTACTGATTTATTTATTTGGGTTGCACGCAACTAATAAAAACCTCAATAGCGGAATGAAGTGAACTTATCATAATCTGAGAAAAATTTGTTCAGCCTTTCATGAATGAAGTTTATTAAGGTACCTAAATGCATAAAATTATTATCTCCAGCTGTAATCTCCATTTTCTTAAATTAAACATACATTACATATTTATTATACCCTAGTAACGCCTAACACCACAGTATTTCTGATATACATGATAAATTACTTTAGATGTGTAGTTTTGTTGTAAACGTATTCACTTCATTTCTGCATGTTTTGTTCTGTTTTTTTTTTGTTGGTTTTGCAAATGATTAGTTAGACGTGAAATCAGATAATAAGCCTTACATCCTGATAGGCAGGTAGATAGATAGATAGATAAACGAGAGGGAAACTGGTACACTACAAGCCGTTTCATAGCTGTCATTTTGAAATTGTCTAACCACTCACTAGAGTTGGAATGTAACGCCTTATCTGTAATCTAAAGCAAGACCAGCATAGAATTCTCTCTAATTTTCTATTGTTAATCTAGTGTAGATATGTGCGTTTCACCACAAATATATATATATATATATATATATATATATATATGTGTATACATTTAACATTGATATAATCTTTTGTCATGAATAAACAAATACAAGGCGCGCATTTAAAACAAACGCTACATTTTCTACTTTTAAATGAATACGTACTTTTAAAAGTGGGAAATATAGAGAAGTGTTAATTGTTACAGAAAATGCTGTTTTTAATTGTTTTCTGTTTAATTAAATAATTTTCACTTTATTTACACAAGGTGGGGAAACTAAAAATGTAGTTTAACTCAACAAACACTTACATTTCCATGCAATAGGTAATGAGCAACGTATATTGTTTAGTGAGAAGTGTTATTATTTCCTAGGTATTGTTAGGTCTTAACTACTGACGTAATAAGTTGAAGTCAGATGCTTAGAACAGTGGGCAACAACTTCACTCAAAGTAATTTCGTTGTTCTTTTGAAATGACCTCATTGTATAAAATAGTTTTAACTGACAAACAATTTGTGCTTATGATAAATTTAAACCTATACAGATTTCATCACTAACTAATATCAGTTAGTGGATTATAGAAAACTAGCTGTTTCGTCCTAGTCTGGGAATCTTCAGTAGCACACACCCACGGTCCCATCTGGGACTGAACATGACACCTTAAGGTTACGTGACCGTATCAAGGTGAAGTGTATGCCCTTCAGTGATAGTGACTGGAGGTAACAATATGTCACAAAATTTCAGAAGTTAGCTTTCATGGTTCACTGAATTCCTGCCTAAGTGGGTGAATGGTCGATCGGCTTGACTTCGTAACCCGATAGTCCTAGATTCACTCCCTTGTGGGAGTGCACTGCTGAAGGTTCTTAAGCAAGGATAAGATCAGGGCTTCCTGGTATCAGTGATTCTCTAACTGATTCGTTACAAAATCGAAATTAATTCAAATCCCTACGTAACCCATTATCTAAATTTAAACGAAGTCATAATTGATGTAAGTTTAGAATTTGGGCACTATGGTATGATTAGGAATTCCACGAAATATGACT